CCTTTAAAACTAAATAATTTTTTATTATTTTTGTTGTTTATTATTATTTATTATTACAAAAGAATATGTTCCTAATAGATCATAAACATTTTTGGGAGCCCTCAGATTGACAAATGACAGCTAAATGCAGGGTATCATATATATAGTAGACCAGTGTCTGAGAGTCTGTAACGTCGAAATGCTGGCTGTTCCCTCTGGGGAGCGCTGTTGCCTGAAATGCTGGCTGTTCCCTCTGGGCGGCTACAAACCCTGGGCTCCCTGTATTTATAGAGGCAGTGTGCCTGGCTTTAGCAGAATCACAGGGTGACTCCATGACTCCCATATCCAGGTTTGCTGTAAACTTCACGTGACTCCATGCCACTCTTACCAAGGTTCCCTATAAGGAGATCCACCCTCCCAGGGGCTCAGAACTCTGCACATGGGGCTTTCTTACTGGACAGGGCTGATTAAGCAGCTGTGCTGTCATGCAACTTAGAGAAACCTTGTCCCTTACTGTGAGTTGTGCCTTCGAGCCACAATGTAGTTGTTTCAGAATTGTAATTTACACAAAAGCTCCTTGGTTTAGATTTTCAAAGGGTGTATATTGAAGTGTTCTTTTAATGACACCGAGACACACAACTGATAATTGTCTATATGTAGTAGCCCAGTGTCTGTGAGTCTATAATGTTGAAATGCTGGCTGTTCCATCTGGGTGGTGCTGTTTCTGAAATGCTGGCTCTTCCCTCTGAGCGGCCCATGCAGCATGGGGTGTGTGGGGCCCAAATGGCCGCTTGACCCAAGTGGCAGCCTAGCAGGAGGTGAAGGGGGGCGGGGCAGTGATGTGCAGTGTGACAGCAGTTCCAGGCCCCTCCCCCTTCACCTCCTGCCGTGGCGCTCTGCTGACTTCTGCACCGCTCAGCCAGGCCGCCGCGGGGGAACAAGCGGCGCAAGCGACTGTTTGGGCTCCACGCCCCCGATGCAGCATGGGGAGTGCGGTGCCCAAATGGCCATTTGGGCCACGCGGTCCCCCAAATGAGAGACAGGAGGGGGAAGAGAAGAGAAAGAGAGAGAGAGAGAGAGAGAGAGGGAGCGAGAACTGACATGGAAGAGAGACCTGAAAATCCCGACTTATGACAGGCTAATTGGCTAGTTAACCAAACCCACTAAGCATTTGTTTAGAGGAAGAACCTTACAGGAATAAGCATTGGTCTAAGCAGCAATAATCACTGCTCAAAATGTTGGCCTCTTTGAAACTCATGAAGCTAGTTACTCAGCTGGGGTAAAATGACATTGCTCCAGTGATTTGAAAGGACGTACATTAGTTTATACCAGCTGAGGATATGGCCCATACATTTGATTACTTCCTGAAAACTTTTAACCCCTTAGTACCCTAGAAACAAATACAATGATCTGAGTGAATTGTGTTGAGGACTAGTGAACCCCCATTTGTAAACTGGGGAAAACAAAGAGAGCCAACATTTTTCAAATGTTGATTTTTGACTCAAGAATTTTCTGCTGAAATGTCAAATTTTAACTAAAAACAGAGAAAACTTTCTGAGACAGTTTTCTTCCACAATTTTTAAACTCTAACAACTTTGGGGATGAAATAGTTTGATTCGGAAAACAATGAAATATTTCAAAAAATTGGAAACACAGTAAAAAAGGATTGTGTTTGTTCATTTGTTTTTTCAATGAACTCCAGGGAAATCACCATCCATCCCCCACGTATCCTCTTTCCCCTCCATCCCAAATTCTATTTTTCACTGAAAATTTTTACTTTGCGTCTATCTCACAGTCTCTTTTAAACAGAATACAAATCCAGCAACATTCAAATCAGATTTAGGAATGGGGTCTATGCAGAAACAAAGGGTCCACCTGTACTTTGGACTTAAATGAAATAAATTAAACATACCATGCACAGTGCAGGAAACACATTAGGGGCCTGATCCCAAGAAGTGATCAGGAAATCACGGGATTGGATCCTAAATGAAGGCAGGTAGCATTTCCATTCTTCTTTCTATTGCAGGCATGAACATTCATTCCTCTATCTTTGGCTGGCATTCCCTATTAGATTTAGAACTGCTGCTGCGGTTGCATTGCTGTGAAATGTATCAACGTTTATGAGTCACTTGGTAAAGGACACATTGTAAACTGACCTACCATTGAAAAAACCCCTCTGTTTCTTCATTGGTTTGATGGGAGATGAGGCAAAGGTTCCTCTTCTCTGATTCATTTCCTAAGGAAATATACACCATATTAAGCAATGGAGTGATTAATTCAAAATGAATGCTTGACACATACTGGAAGAGGGACTCTCCTTTTTAAAACCAGCACCCAATTACTTGCTTAGAACAATAACTTGTGGCCAAAAACATGGGGATTTTTTGGGGGGGAGCAGTTTTTTGGTAGAGGAAGAGCAATCGAAAGCAATGGCAGACACAGCAATGTAGAAGAGATCAATGTTATCAGGGTTTTGATCCAATCCTCACTGAAATCATTGGGAAGCTTTTTACTGACACCAAAATGCAAGACGATTCCTGAGGGTTTCAAAGGAACCTAACAGAAAGCAAAAGGTTGTCCAACTCCCTTAGAAAGCCAGTGGGAGTTTTCTTTCCATATATCTTAAATACCTGTGTGATCCCCACCACCGTAGTATCTGAGTGCCTCACAATCCTTAATGTGTTTAGCCTTTAGCCCCATTTTAAAGATGAGGATCTGAGACTTGGAGATACTTAAGTCATTTGCCCAAGATCACATGGGAAGTCAGATAGAACAGGGAACTGAACTGTGGTCTCCCAAGTGCAACTCCTTAGTTCACTGGACCATCCTTCCTCTTATCAAAATAACTCACTCTCCTGCTCTAATTTGGAAAGCCCAGACATGCCTGGCACACTGAAGTTGAGTAAAACAAAGTGCCATGAAAAAATGACTTACAAGGACATTCTAAAGTGTTTGGTCTGAATGTGTAACTGCCTCATAACATTAACTGGCTCTGTGAACATGGGAAAGGCAGTGGACATGATATACCTTGACTTTAGCAAAGCTTCTGCTATGGTCTCCCATAATATTCTTGCCAATAAGTTAAGGAAGTATGGATTGGATAAATGGACTGTAAGGTGGATCACCAGCTGGCTAGGTTGTCAGGCTAAATGGGTACTGATCAATGTGGATGTCTGGTTGGTAGTTGGTATCAAGTGGAGTGTCCCAAGATTCAGTTCTAGGGCCAGTTTTGTTCAACATCTTTATTAATAACCTGGACGAGGGGATGGATTTCACTTGCAGAGATAGGGTCCAGAGTGACCTAGACAAATTGGAGGATTGGGCCAAAGAAAATCTGATGAGGTTCAACAAGGACAAGTGCAGAGTCCTGCACTTGGGATGGAAGAATCCTAAGCACTATTACAGGCTGGGGACCGACTGGCTAAGTAGCAGTTCTGCAGAAAAGAACCTGGGGGTTATAGTGGATGAGAATCTGGATATGAGTCACCAGTGTGTCCTTGTAGCCAAGAAGGCTAATGGCATATTGGGATGCATTAGCAGGAGCATTGCCTGCAGATCTAGGAAAGCGATTATTGCCCTTTTTTGGCACAGGTTAGGCCACATCTGTAGTATTGTGTCTAATTTTGGACCCCCCATTACAGAAAGGGTGTGGATGCATTGGAGAGAGTCCAGTGGAAGGCAGCATAAATGATTAGGGGGTTGGAGTCCATGACTTATGAGGAGAGGTTGAGGGATTAGGGCTTATTTAGTCTATAGGGGTATGTCTACACTACAAAGTTAATTCGAACTAACAAACGTTAGTTCAAATTAACGTTGCTAGGCGCTACACATACAAACCGCTAGTTTGAACTTAATTCGAACTAGCGGAGCGCTTCATTCGAACTAGGTAAACCTCATTCTACGAGGACTAACGCCTAGTTCGAATTAAGTAGTTCGAATTAAGGGCTCTGTAGCCACTTAATTCGAACTAGTGGGAGGCTAGCCCTTCCCAGCTTGCCCTGGTGGCCACTCTGGGCACCACCAGGGAAACTCTTCTGCCCCCCTCCCGGCCCCCGGACCCCTTAAAGGGTCACGGTCTGGCTACGGTGCCTGTGCCAGGTGCAAGCCTGCCAGCACCCAGCCAGCAGACCCTGCACCTGGCACGGCACGAACCAGCCACCC